AGGCCATTGGGCACACTCCTTCTAAATTGGGGCTCCATCGTACAGGGTAATTTCCACTGGAAGTATGCCCAATTCGGTTCAAATTTCATAACTGCTATTGACCTCTTTGTGACAACAGCAGAAATGAGCTAATCACAGTCGTGAATCCTATGCTGATATATCTCCACCACAACCAAAAGTTTAGCGTACATGACGAGTGCAAAATTGCCCGTTGTCGGTGCTGTACACTCCTCCAAATGAGAGCTCCTCATGACATGAAAGGTGCCAGCAGCCATGTGGTCAAAAAATCGCATTTGAAATACCTAACACTGTACAAGTGAGTGTTGGCATACAGCGTAGCAGCTAAGTACTAGGACTTGTAACCTGTGAAAAATGTCTTGACATTACTTTTCAAGTGAGTGTTGGCATACAGCGTAGCAGCTAAGTACTAGGACTTGTAACCTGTGAAAAATGTCTTGACATTACTTTTCAATGCAGATTGACCTTAGCCTTTCAAATGGCCGAAGACAAAGCCTACAGCCGGATCCAGATGATCTGGACTGAGCCAGATTTTCTGCTGCTGTCTGCAGCTGTGGCAAATCCTTCAGAGTCTCCAACCGAGCTTCACCTAATCTGTCACTTCGAGCTTATCAAAAGTAACGTCTGCGCAGTGCTTGAAAAGCTTGCCACAAACAAGCACGTGAAAAGTGTACGACTCTCTGTTGCAACTGAAGTGCATCGAGAAGTCATTGCTGCAATGTGCTCTGTGCTCTCCACGAACAAGACAATCCAAAATCTTGCTATCCATGTCGCCTCCGGCGAATCTGACCGTGGCCTTTTTGGCGAAGTGGCCCAGGCTCTCTATGAAAACAACACTGTGACTAAAGTGCGCTTCAGTGGCCCTGAGGTAACCCGGAGGTCGGCCAACTGTATTGCTTCGATGCTCTTGAAAAACACCACAATTGTGAGCCTGACTTTGGACATCTCTCACCTGCCCAGCAAGCGCCTTGCCACAATTTCCCGCGCCCTGATTAAAAACCACTCTGTCGTTGAATTCAGGCTGGCCCGTTACCCATTCACAAACAAAGTCTCATTTCGCGTGTTCCGCGCCACCAGTCGGAACGTCGGTCTCCTCAACATGGCTGCACGATTCGTCACGCGCGAGAAGCTCGACGGAGAGGCAGCCAGGGCGTTCGATGACGTCTGTGGAAAAGCATCGCTTGTTCCTCACATAATGAACGTGACCAAGCAAACCGAGAGCAAGATCCAAACGGCCGTACTGTCCGCCAAGTGTTTTGTCCAGAATAACTACTTCCAGCTAGCTGGAATCGTCAAGGAAAACATCGTTTGTCACCCTGGCTTGACCAAGCAGTTCGATTCCTTGAATCATTACTGCCGTGTTGCCATCGCTCAGTATCTGAAGCTTTCAGATGTCTTAGCAGCTGATAACATTGAGAAGCCATAATACACACTCGCGACTTACTGGCATCATCCCTGTGTTCTGTTCATACCTTCAAGAACCAAATAAATCCAACGGACAAGCCACGAGAGGCGTAGGGAACGTTGTTTTTAACTGTAGCATAGTAATTATGGCTTTAAATAAAATGGATTTCACAGGTGGAAAATCAACTTATTCCTTTAGTGAGACCCGAACCCACAACCTTTGCAGTTGGTCGGTTAGGATTTGACTGACGACGGATGGTTTTTCCACCACTTTAATTCATTTCAGCTTATGTTATTACTGTACTTCAGTTAGAAAGTGCCGAGTTCAAATCCCACTGACAAAATGGGTGATTTCTGTCCCACCTACTTCGTTTTAATTTGTGCCATAGATACTACTCAACCGTTAATGACAGCATTTAATGTTGTTATTGCTTTTCTGGGCCAATTGTTTATTGGATACATTCGGTGTTGCCTCACAAAGAAGTGGCCTCCTCAATGAAGTTCCCCTTCCTATTCAGAACGAAGGTACACGACATTGAGGCCCGGTTTAAACTTCATTATAGCTAGTTGTGACTAGTCTGCTGACAGTGATAGCCGAGTGGTCTCACTCTTCTTTCAGAAGGGCAAATTTCCCACCTAATTTGACTCAACAATCATTCCTTTGTTTTTTTTTCATCCTTATATTAAGTGTTGAAGCAACTTAAGTGGATTACTTTTTTCTCTGATATCGAACTACCTTTCCATTCAACATTCTTTCTTGCCGTTTTTTCGGTTGTCCCGTTCCATCCGGGCACCACGAGCCTACCAATGGCAGCGTGCCTTGCACTGACAAGCTTCCCCATTTTTTATTTTACGTGTGCTTGCACGACCGTGCCTAAAGCGTGGCTGCATAGGTGACCTCAACTCCCTCTCCGCCTCCTCGAAAAACCTAAAGTTACTGCATATGCTACCTAAAGGTAGCATATAAGTAACTCTAGAAAAACCTTTCTCGCTACGCAGCTGCTGATCACCGTGCTTGTGTAAAGATCCATGTGGCATGAAACTTCGATTCCGCGGTACCTAATAATTGCGGAGGAGGTGGGGGGGGGGGACACTAAATAAAAGAGATAATACCTGGGGTTTTACGTCCCAGACGCCGTAGTGGAGGGATATATTGTTCTTTAACGCGCATTCGTATATCGCTCAGTTTACAAGAGGCACACTCAAAGCGAAAAAAAAAAAGAAAACGTTCTGTGAACGATAAAGATACCATCCATGGGGAAAATCAATCGTCAGCATCACGTTAACTACAATGCGACTGCGGGCAATAGTTGTAGAAGTCTGTCGTCGCATATTTCGAATCATATCATAAGCGACACGCTTGTTTTGCCTTTCCGACATTTACTTATTTATTTTCATTAAAGCTTACATTTCTTTCCTCAGCGAGCGTTGCGCGAAGAGAAAGACGATAGCTCCGCCTTGTTAAGTACAGTGTGGCCAATCCCCCATTAGGGTATGAGCCAAGATCCCCTAGGAGACAAGACAAGACACAAATACCTGTGACACACAGTGGTGGTGACCCCGGTGTATAATGCAATAAATGTGTAAGTCGCTGTGTATCAAGGAAAAACATAGTGACATGAACGACAAACGAAAGTGGAGTAAGATAGCGCGAACATCAAATGCTACTTTTTTTTCCAGTTCGAGCCAACTTGGTTGACAAGCCTACGTATCAATGCAGGTAAAAGTAAAAACGTGAAGCATAATGCAACAAGTATCACACTTTCAGAGACAAACTACTAAGTTATATTAGATCACGTCAGACGGCTTAGTTTCAGATGGGGCGGCTATACCATCGTGCAATAACATCGCTCGAAATACGAGCATGGACGGCGCGTAAAGCTGGGAAAGCAAACAGAAAAAATGCTACGACAGAACGGCAGCGTAAGTACAATCTGTCCGCTCACTCGAGAGCGTAGACTCAGACGCTGCCGAGTGGACTATGGAACAAGTAAATGCGTCAAACATATGCTGAAACACTGAACACCGCAGCCTTTTGATGCAGGCTGGGCAAAGAGAAAGCAGTGTTGTCAAATGTTGTACTACTTTCACACCGAATAACCAGCCGAAGGCGTATGTCGACACAGCGTTACATCGTGGTTATTCGCATTGATTGACTGAGGAGCCGGGATAATCGTGGCTCATTCAATGAACGAAATGGACTCGAGCACCAGCCCGGTTCACAGACCAAGCACGCAGCGTAGCCACTTTACATCACAGAAGAGTGAAGTTGAAGACGCATACCGACCGATAGGATATACGAGTGTATTCGCCTGTTCACCGCTTGAAATACGTCGTGCTATCGATTCGCCAACTCGTTGCAGACAACTTTTCCTGCACAGTTATTTATTCCCACCACCCTACCAAATGTCGCGGTCAGCTGATGACCACCTTGGAGCAACTGACTGGTAACACGCTTGAAGCACCTTTCGAAAAGTCATTCGGTTTTGAAGTATGGCGTGTGATGAAAGCTCAGAAAAGCAGAGCACAAAACAATGCCACACCACAGAACACCTATGATGCACCCTCAGCATTTATCCCAGTAATCTTGTTACCGATAACGCCAGGCAAATATGCAAAGAACTTCGTAGGAGAACAACGCCAGTCAACAACCAACAGCAATTCATCTCTCTATCGCCCTACGTTGGTCGTTTTATGAAACAATGCTAGACAATCTTACGGCACTACTAAAGCTAATTTACGTCAAAACTATTATCATTGCTCAGTTTTCTACTTAAGGGTATTTGTTAAATGCTAAGAAAATTTAGAAAATTGCAAATAATTTGAATTTTCTAACGTTTGCACAAAGTAAACTTAAAAAACATTTGTCAACATTCTTGGGTTATAAGGTTGGTTATTTTCGGCTAGAAGACTTGTCCTTTCACTTGTCTTGTTAGCTTTGCGCTGAGGCTGTGTTGTACCCAATGAAGTGAGAGCAAGTACAAAATCAACCATCATGCATATGTGCCATTTGAAGCTCTTGCCTAGGACACGGGACGGCTTACTGCTCTCCCATAGTTGAGTATCAAGTACTCAAAATCGTTCAAAGTTTTTTCTAAATACATTGGAAGCTCTTCATAGTAGAGTACCAACTACTCTAAATTGTTAACCACTTTTTCTAGACACAGAGCAAGTTGAAAACTTTTCCCAATACCCCGCCGGGACACAGAACAGCTACCACTGAGCACCTACCATGGAGTTTCTCACAATTGTACCTAGAGGGAAATTTGGCGCTAGTGAGGTCCTAGAGATGCAAAGAAATGGTGGGATACGTGAGCTTCGAACTTGACTCGGATTTGTATACTTCTAAAAGACCTGTTTGACTTCACGTTGAAATGATTTACTTCTTAACACTAATTTACTAAATTTACTTAACCCTAATTTACTAAAACACGTAATAAGCTTTTTAATTTTGTCATTGCACAAAAACGTGTTATATTTAACACTAATACCTGCTACGTTTAGGTACAATTTTATGAAGCGTTAAAAGTAACCGACGACTGCTAAAGTTGGCAGGCAGACAACAATGCGGGCGTTCTTTTCCGCCACTTTCATGTCGTCTGTTTCTTTCCTTCGCCGTTTAGTTGTGCTGTCAAGGTGAGTGGACTGTTATTTTAGAATATAATACGCGTGAATGAGATCTGCTTTTAAACATTTTGTTTTACAAAAGCTTTATTTACGCAGCCGTATCCGCGTTTGAGCCGATGCCTCGCCTAACACCAGCCAACATAAACCTCGCAGACACACATACCATAACGGGTGTTCTGTGCCATAACTCTATGCACATACCGTCATACCCAGCCACGGAGTGTTCCCAGCGCTCCAACATCGCCCCTTTAGAAATTTGCATAGACGGTAGCGCAACACTTTCCTCTAGGTATTTGTGACAAACTCTATGACACCTACTAACGGGGAGACGCGCATCTTCCTTTCACATCGACAATAACCTTTTCTTGGATATTTCATGTTACGCATGTATGCTTCCGCGCTATGTAGTCCGGTGCAATATGCACCAGTTTCGGTTTTGATTTTTCTGTCTGTACGGGAAAAATACAGAATACATTTTTTGCGTTTTTTTTATTTAAAGACCATCTAGCAAAGGCTGGAAATTTCGCTTGCGCTATCGCTCGGAGGTCAATTATTTGTGAAAAGCAGGCTGACCACTTCAGCCCACAAAACAGTGACGAAATCGCCACGCATGGCATTACACGTGCGTAAGTGATTCTTAAAAGATAGAAATAAGAGAAACGTGAGCCCCGTAACTGTCTGCATTATAGTGCGACACCTCAACACTGACTAACGGGAACGCGGGTAAGGAGGAAATAAAACGAATATGGAGAAATAAAAGGGATAGGGTTAGATTAGGGGATTGGGGCAGGGACAGAGAGACCCACATACAGAAGTAAGGAGAAGATGGGAGAGATGGACACGGTCGCAAGAGTTCCAAGACGGGGCACCAATCAGCGAGAGCTTCACGGCGTCAGGAGATGGCGTAGGGCGAGCCGGTCGGCCAGAGCTGCGCTGTCGTCGGAGATCGCGGGGACACAATCAGTCGTCACGAAATCCAGCTAGCGAGTTCCCCCGCATGCTACACCGCACTTGCAACTGCGGGAGAGAGCTACGCGCGAGGAGGATGGCAGCCAACACAAGCTCGAGACGTGGGTGGTTGCTGACAGTCAAACCAAGCTGATACAGATACCGCGAGGTGTGGCGTTTCACGTGCAGTTGCTCGGCACAAATATCAAAACTGATTTCTTAAATCTGCACTAGGCAACTATATTAGCCATCGATGTTTTGTAGATGACGCGTGTGTATTGCACAGATCTACCTCATAAGTTATTTTGCGTTGAAAACTTCGTGTCAATACTCATTGCGGTTAGATGCATGATTGATTCTGAGCTCGTGACATCAATCGTCTTACATGTTTTCACCCCCTTTTTATTTTACAGTTCGAACCACCACTTCAGAATATGCCATCAAACTTTGACTGTGAACTTGTGCCTGAGTGTTCCATGAATCAAATCAGCCTGAACATCTTTATGCGAGGGCGGTGAAACACTTGTGCATAACATCACAACATCAATCTGCCGGCCAGGGAAGCAGAAAACCAAGGTTGAAAAAAAAACACACCAGAGTCAAACTTGGCCTCGGAATCAGGAAAGACATTCGCCACCTATGCCAACTCCTCCATGGAAGTCAACATATGTCGACCAGAAAACACCTGGGGACATAATGCATGATCACGAAGTGCCAAACAAAGCACAGCTCATGGAAATGCAACGTCCTGCAAACAAGCAATCCCACATCTGCTGCTTCTGCTTCAAGTCGTTTGCCAATAACAGCAATCTTCAACGCCACGTTCGTACTCGGTGCAAGTATCGCTGTGCTGAAGTTTTACCCAATGGCACAGGTGTCGTCAAGCACAATTATCCAGTGCAAGATGTTAGTTGTAAAATGCTCATTTGTGACCGGTGTTCCAAAGGCTTCTCCAGAAAGGCAGATTTCGATCGACACAATGACCTAGAACACAGAGACGGGCAGACCAGCCACAGCTGCTACTTGTGCCCTGAAGCCTTTGACGATGTGTTGTCTCTACGGACCCACCTCAATGCCCACATGTCAGACTCAAACAAGCTACGTGCCGATAACCTGAAGCGTGAGAGCGACGAACAGCAGGATGACTGTTTGCCAGAACCGCAGTACAGCTGCAACATCTGCAGCGTAATGTTTGCCGACGAATACGCCCTCGCCGAGCATGTACTGATCGCACATTCCCTCGAGCTGCTGTGCATGGATAAGAAGCCACTGTTCAGTAAGCATTGTGCAGATGAATGCGAGGTGATGGACGACTTTGACAATTCAGTCCTTGAGTTGACGGCCATGCCGTCGCATGATTGCAACCTTTGTGCCGAGACCTTCAAGGATGCATCCGGCCTTGCAGAGCACATCGAAAACAACCATTCAAGGGCGAGTTCTTCTCTGGACAAACAACAGGAGGATAATGCAAATCATCATGAGGGGACATCTGTGACGATGGCGACTCGCCAGGTAAAGGAGCCCATAACTCCCATTCACCACGCATGCCACCTCTGCCCCGAAGGGTTTGCCAAGGGCACCACTCTGCAACAGCATGTTCACACAGTCCATGGTGCTGTCACGAAACATTTGGACACAAAATTTCCTGGTTCGAGCAAGCAGAGCAACCTCAAAGAAGCCCATTACTGCGAGGCCATAACTCCCATTCACCACGCATGCCACTTCTGCCCCGAAGGGTTCGCCAAAGGCACCACTCTGCAACAGCATGTTCACACAGTCCATGGTGCTGTCACGAAACATTTGGACACAAAATTTCCTGGTTCGAGCAAGCAGAGCAACTTCAAAGAAGCCCATTACTGCGAGGCCATAACTCCCATTCACCACGCATGCCACCTCTGCCCCGAAGGGTTTGCCAAAGGCACCACACTGCAACAACATGTTCGCACAGTCCATGGTGCTGTCACGGAACATTTGGACACAAAATTCCCTGGTTCGAGCAAGCAAAGCAACTTCAAAGAAGCCCATTTCTGCGAGGCCATAACTCCCATCACTACGCATGCCACCTCTGCCCCGAAGGGTTTGCCGAAGGCACCACACTGCAACAACATGTTCGCACAGTCCATGGTGCTGTCACGAAACATTTGGACACAAAATTTCTGGTTCGAGCAAGCAGAGCAACTTCAAGAAGCCCATTTCTGCGAGGCCATAACTCCCATTCACCACGCATGCCACCTCTGCCCCGAAGGGTTTGCCGAAGGTACCACACTGCAACAACATGTTCGCACAGTCCATGGTGCTGTCAGGAAACATTTGGACACAAAATTTCTGGTTCGAGCAAGCAGAGCAACTTCAAGAAGCCCATTACTGCGAGGCCATAACTCCCATTCACCACGCATGCCACCTCTGCCCCGAAGGGTTTGCCGAAGGTACCACACTGCAACAACATGTTCGCACAGTCCATGGTGCTGTCACGGAACATTTGGACACAAAATTTCTTGCTTCGAGCAAGCAGAGCAACTTCAAGAAGCCCATTTCTGCGAGGCCATAACTCCCATTCACTACGCATGCCACTTCTGCCCCGAAGGGTTTGCCAAAGGCACCACACTGCAACAACATGTTCGCACAGTCCATGGTGCTGTCACGGAACATTTGGACACAAAATTCCCTGGTTCGAGCAAGCAAAGCAACTTCAAGAAAACCCATATCTGCGATCAATGTTCCAAGAGTTTTCGCTTCAAGAAGAACCTCACACAACACCAGGTGACACATACGTTGTCGAGGCCTTTTGCATGTCACCTCTGTCCAGGGACATTCACCCAGAAGAGCAGCTTGAAGCTACACATTCAGCGGCACTCCGGCCTCAAGCGCTTCTCGTGCCCACACTGCTCCAAGGGCTTCCTCATCAAGGCTGAACTGCACATTCACATGCGCACGCACACGGGTGAGCGGCCTTACGTCTGCGAAGTGTGCTCGGCTGCGTTCTCTGCGCGAGACAACCTGCGGAAGCATGAGGCCACTCACACAGGCTTGAGACCTTTTTGCATGTCCGCAGTGTCCCAGGTCTTTTACCAGGTGCCAGACTCTAAAACGCCACTTACGGAGGCACACGGGGGAGAGGCCCTTTGCGTGCACGTTGTGCCCGAGGAAGTTCACACGCCGGAATCTGCTTCGTGAGCACACTGAAGCAGTCCATCAAGTTAGAACTCCTGCCACTTAATTGTTATGTTATACCTGAAGTCAACTGACTGAATGGAACTTGTCTATGAGACATTCAATGGGTTACTAAGCAGCTGGTGAAATAATGTCTTACAAAAAGCAAATTTACACAAGTTGTAAACTTATTATCGGTCGTGTATATGTGCATCATGCATATTTATTGTGATGATGGTCCTTGCATTGTGACAACCTTGCTCCCCATGCCAAATTCGTTTCAGAAGTGTACAGCCTACGCCCCAAACCCTTCCACTTGTTTCAATAAGATTTGGTTTTTCAACAATGATGAACCATAGTACAAGCTAGCAAAAGAACAATAGCTCCTGGCCACCCTCTTCTTACAATTGTGCTGTTCTGCAGCCCCCATCACCATTTCATGTCCGTTTTTCTTTCCTTCTTTCAGTGTTGGAAAATTGTGCATCAGTGCTAGCCCAGTTTTCTATACCGTGCTGTTGTGCATTTCGTGTGTAAGTGTGTGTTTGTTTGTGTGTTTTAACAAGACAGTGCAATGTAAGATGGCTAGAAGCTAAGGCCATGGCATCTGTTTATTGGCATAACCTCGTTTAACGAGTTGAGACGTCAACTTGCAAGGGTTGTCTTGAACTCTCAAGTCTGCTGTCACTAAAAGAAAATAAACGTGGCTTTGGCTTGACTTTAAATGCATGAGTGGCATTGTGTCATAGGCTCGCAGCATGCTCTCACACTTTCACCAGAAGCTTTCTAAAATTGAAATCATTTGGAAACTCCAGCACTTCTGAAAAGCAGAGACTACATGTTTGTGCTTGGTGGACAAGGCAAGAGCAATGTGCCAGCGATTATATGATGCTAGATGTGTAAAGATTTTTATGAGCCTAATCTCATAAAATTAAGCAAGTTACAAGCAGTTAACTAATGAACAAAACAAATAGCCACCAACTGAGTGAAGAGCCTCGATCTTGCACTTTTGTCGGAGGCTGAAGTCATCAAAAACTCCAGAGTTTTTTTTATGTGCCAAATCTCATGCGCACACAGCGTGCCGACAGGCCGTGGCTGTGCTGCTTAGACGCTGGCAAAGAGATGCTAAATAACGCTGTTGTACGAACACCAGCTCCATCTATTCTCATAGGTTGTCGCATTGCCACTAGTTGTCTGATGAAAGCCAGGGAGTTTAGAGAGGCCAAATGAGCATTTTTATGATTGACAGGGCTTGTGCATTTGTGGCCATCCAAGTTAATCTTGGGATTGGCAGTGAAGGGGTTAAGCAGCTGTATGCAGCAATGGTTCATGCAGCAGATGACTGCCTTACGTGCTTGACAGTCACACCCCTGCTTGACACGATCTGCACTAGGGCAGAGGAGGGGAACGGGTGGAAAGAGTCGATGTGAAAAGATTAAACATACAAGTACTCGGGTTATTAAGCTCATGTGTTGATTCTGCAACTTTTCAGTCTTAACCTACATACAGGGGCAGTGCCAGGATTTTTATGGGCGAAGCTCCTTAAGGCGTGGGTCTGTCAATCTCTTGTATGTATGTAGTAGTACGTAGCCACCGGGGACACATACCCCCTCTAGAGCAGGTATGAGCCACAGGGGATGCGAGATGGGAGATTGTGGTACTTGGAGTGTTCACTAGATGGATGCATAAACAGACAGATGGACGGGTAGATGCAAGGACGTATGGATGCACAACATACAGACAGATGAATGGACGGACTTGAGGATGGACAGATGCATGGAGGGACGCACGAACGGACGGAAGCACGGACGAGATGACGGACGCTTCGCCTCACTCATCATCATTCACTCTGTGGATTTGCTGTGATTTTTTTTTTCAGGTCGGGCACAGACGACAATTGTGTTTTTTTCAGGGGGGGGGGGGGGGGGGCAGGGAGGCACAGAACTTATGCGTTGTGTTTCGACTATGCTTGCTCTTAGGGGGCAAAAGGGGGGCATTCGAGAAAGTCTGAGGAAGGTAGGATGCACTCAGAGCGAAAAAAAAAAAAAAGAAAGAGCATACTGTGAACATTGAGAATGTATACGCTTGGGGAAATGATGCTTGCCAACGTGTAAATAACGAAGATGTGGCAGCTGTGCATAAACGCACAATGTCTGTGGTCCTATTTTTTGAATATCTTCACCGATGTTTGGCTGCCGAATGCCTGTCCTTTCAACATGTTTTTGAAATTTCATTTTATCATTAAAAGATGGTCCCAACTAGACACATGTCCTGCTATCTCGGTGTTTTTTTTTTTTTCAGGAGCATTGTGTAAAGAAATACATCTCCCTTCTTGTGCACAATGTAAAAAAAGAAAAAGAAGAAGGCACTATAATCAGATTATCATGATTATAAGATTGCTTATTTTCTTTCATACTGTCTTTTTCAATTTCTTGCACTTTGTTTTTGTGATGTTTTCTCTTTATATTTTTTTTGGTAAGCTGTAGTGCCACGCATACCATTCATAAGGTACAATACCTTTTCTTGGCAAATCCCCTGGAGTGGATACATGCAATGGAATACAAAAAAATAATAATAAATGAAGTGAGAGCACTTGTGTTTTCTCAATTAGGGTGTTCACTTCATTTATTATCTATTACTAATAGAAACCTTTATATTTTCTACATCTGACTGAGCATCAAAATTTTATTGTAAACTTGGTAATGTTTTTTATTCTATAACCTCCATTATTATAAAATGCTTAAAGATTTTATGAGACCACACCATTCTTGGCCACTTCGCCACAGTGGGTATGAGCCACAAGAGAAGGTGAACAAGAGAGCATTCTGTCCAGGGGCGTAGCCAAGGGGTAGCCATGAATACATCCTCGCCGAGCATCTACTGATTGCTCATTCTCCCGAGCTGCTGTACACGGACAAGAAGCCATTGTTGAGTGAGCTTTGTTCAGGTGCATGCGAGGTGAACGAAGAACTTGACAGTTGAGGCAATGAGACGTCGGCCGCGCCCTCCCATTATTGCAACCTTTGCCCTGAAAGCTTCGAGGATGCATCCGACCTTGTGGAGCACATCCGAAACCATCCTAGTGCGAGTTCTCTGGAGAACGAACAAAAGGATAACCCGAATCCTCACGAGAGGAAACCTGTCAAGATGGGGACTCACCAGGCCAGGGAATCTGTAACTCTTATTCACCTCACATGCCACTTCTGCTCCGAAGGTTTTGCCAAAGGCACCACTTTGCAACAACACATCTCACAATCCACAGTGCTGTTACAAAAGGTTTAAACACAGAATGTCCCCGTTCTAGCAGGCAGAGAAACTTCAAGAATACGCATTCCTGCGATCAATGTTCCAAAAGTTACCTTACTAAGGGCAACTTGACACAACACCAGGCCATTTGCATGTCACGAGGCCATTTGCATGTCACCTCTGCCCAAGGACTAACACCCTGAAGGGCATCCTGAAACGACACATTCAGTGGAACTCCGACGTTAAGTGCTATTCATGCCCATATTGCTCCAAGGGATTCCTTGTCAAGGCCGCCATGTACGTTCACATGCGCAAGCACACAGGCGAGCGGCCATACGTCTGCAAAGTGTGCTCAGCTGCGTTCTAGGCACGAGACAACCTGCGGCAGCATGTGGCCATTCACATGAGCTTGAGGGCCTTTGCATGCCCACTGTGGCCCAGGTCTTTTGTCAGGTACCAGGATCTGAAACGCCACTCACTGAGGCACACGTGGCAGAGACCCTTCGTGTGCATGTTGTGCCGGAGGACATTCACCCGCTAGCATCTGCTTCGCGAGCATGTGGAAGCTGCCCATCAAGTGAATAAATAAAACTCCCGCCACATAATTATTGTGCTGTACTTGAAATCAATTGACTGAACGCAACTTGTCTGTGATAAACTGAAGAAGTTGCTTCGTTGTTGGTAAAATAATGTCTTAAAAAAAGCTCTTTGAAGCCGTTGTAAAGTTAGTATTGGTCACCGTTATGGGCAAGGTGCATCTTTATTATGATGGCAATCTTTCGCATTGTGACACCCTGCCCCAGTTCCTCTATTCTTTAATCACTGCTGAAGATACATGATGCTTCAGTGTGCAGGTGTTCCACAGGGTGAGAAGGGCAGCCTGAGGATATTCATACAACTCATTTCAGAAGTGTAGAGGCTGTGCCCCAGACCCTTCAGCTTATCTTACTAACCATAGTACGAGCTAGCCAAAGAGCAGCAGCTCCTGGCCCCTATCTTCCCACAATTGTGCTATTCCGTAGCCCTCGTTGCCAAGTCATGCTTATTTTAACGCGATAGCATTAAAGAGTTCATTTTGCATAAATTCCCGCATCGAAGTCTGCATCGTTAGTTGTCAGTGAGAAATTATCATCTTGCTTCACTAACACAAGTGAAGCTTCACTAACACAAGTGATTTTCAACTTGATCGATAAAACTGTAGTAATCCACAAGTGACAGGATATCACTAGTATGTTCAACTCTTGAAGGCGAAGCTTGAGGGTCCCCTAATTTTTTCCTTCTTTCTATTAGTGTTGGGAAAATGTGCATCAATTCCAGCTTAGTTTCCTATTGCCTTCTGCTGCGCATCTCAGAAGTGTTATTTTTTTAACAAAACAATGCCAAGTAAGATGGCTAGAGGTTAAAGCCATGGAATCTGTTCAGTGGGGTAGCATTGTTTATCGAGCAAGGGCCGTCTCAAACTCTCAAGTTTGCTACCACTAAATGGAAATGAACATAGCTTTGTCTTGACTAGGTCTTTTATAAATGGTGTGGTTGTACAGGACCTGTGTGGTACTGCGTCTCAGCTTACATTATAAGTTTTATAAAATTGAAATCAGTGGGGAACTCTTGCACTCCTGAAACGCTGAGACTTCATGTTCGTACATGATGGACATACCAAGTGCAACATTAACAACAAAGAACAGCTCAACTGACTAGTTCATCAAATGTGTCTAGATGCGTAAAAGGGCTCAATTGGCGAGATCACTTCGTCCCATGCAGCTTGCTTTAATTGAGAGAGAGAGAGACAAAACTTTATTTTTTAGATGGGAAGCATCTTATGAGCGAGCTTGATCTGGTGGCGTTCGAGCTCCACTGCGCATGCGCCTACTCTCTACCACTCCCCCTCTCTCTCCTCACAACACCGACACAGACAGCTATGCTAGCCCACGCTCGCTTCCCCCCTCCTCTAGGCATCCTTCCCCATGGCGTTTACACCCCGATATGTATGCGTGTTTGCAAGTGAGTTTTTTTATTGAAAAAACTGACTGCTTGCACTGCACAGCAGCCGTTCGCTGGCCACCCTGTATATATTGGTATTGGATCTTGACCTCCAAGGTAGTACTGGTGGGAGATTTCTCCTGTGCGTTCTTGAACAATAAAAATTCACAGTGTGTGCATTAATTAAAAGTGGACGAAGGTCTCCGTGTCCAATCGGAGTCTTCCGTCTCTCATTGCCCATTAGCGGCAATTGGAACGTTCCAGTAAGATACACCTGTTCATCACTGCCTGCTATGCGCCTCCCCAGGTTCCTCTCCTGGGCAGGCGCCACGACGAGTGCCAGAATCAATGGCGCTAAGTGTAAGTGTTAGCACACGCGGATTCACATCTACACATGGTTCTCTTTAGTCGAGATGGTGTAATTTTGTCCTTTCTGGGGTCAAGGAAGGAGGGGGCCTGGAGGCTAGAGTTATAGGGCACCCTTTCCTCAGGTGGAAACCAAACCTTGGGTCTAGGAGGTGTCTTTGGCCAGCCGGACTGTCCAGAGTTGGTCATCATGGCACGTGCTGACCAGTATTGCCTCCCACTGCTCTGACGCAGTTATGTGTGACTCTGATTATGTTCTTTGCCTTCTACTTTGTGTTAGCGCGTGACAGCTGATTCACAGAGTAGCGCGTAAAGCATTGGCGCTGTGTCTGATGGTGTGTGTCACTGTAGGACATGCCCAAACACTGTGGTTCATGTG